GTAATTTTGGCTATGAGTTCAATGTTAGGGAATCAACTATAGATTAAATTAGGTTGCTTTACACAGAAATATGCATAAAACAAAGCTATGGCTTGATTGGTTGACACAAATGTGATCAGCGGCTCACAGGAACCTCTTGTATTTTTCCTAGTAGTAATGGCTCAGTATTTGCTAATTCAGTGTTTGGAGTGACTTTATAGATTTTTAACAACCATGAATACTTAAAGTCAACAATATTTGCATAACACACAAGAATGAAATTTCTCAAACAAATATCAGTAAGTGTCATAAGAGTTGTACCCAAAAATCTGAGAATGGCTTATTAAAATGATTGGCCTTGAGCACCTAAAATTGAAAGAGGTACTTACTAAGTCCCATCATGGGGTAAAAACAAAATCAAACCTCTGGTAATATTAGACTTAACTGCATTTTCTTTTTTTGATATGTTTACATACCTGACAGATCACTGATGTGAATTAGATTACATTTCAATCTCAACACAACATTTGCCATGGTCTTTCATAGTGTCTTTGTAGAGAAGTTAGACATATATGGGCTGGATGATAATACAATTAAATATGCCTATAGCTGCTTAGAATTCTCTACATAAAGTGACTACACTAAAGAATCATTACAAAGATGGATGTAAAAAGGGTTCTGTGATGTTTCATGGTACTGTACTAAACCTTTATTCTTCCAAACTTTGTCCTTTACACAATTTTAATCAGTAACTTTCACAAAGAAATAGTAAGCATGCTTAACAGAGTTTGTTGTGCTAAACTATGTAAGAACAAAGTGATAGGAGGTAACCTGCTCATATCCCTCCACAACAACTATAATTTGGCAGCTACTCATTCACAGACAAAAGTGCCCTTATGGGAGCTTTGGGATCCAAGTAAGAAGTTGTAAAAGCTGGGAGTACAAGACCAAGGAAGGCTTTTAAGAAGGCAGGACTATGCCAGTGGCAGGCTTGCTGACCAAATTCTTGGATACAGACCTAGAAACAGCCCTGTCTCCTGTGAAATCAGCTACAGTCCTGTTTGGCCTTAGTCCTGCTACAATATCTGGCAAGGGACCCAGGAAGTCATGTTCACTCATGCCTTGGATAACAGGCCTGCTGAACTTGATCCTGGATGTGGACCCTGAAGGAAGGGTTCTATGGACTGGCAGTTGTAGTCTGGCAACTGTCCTGATTGTACAGAGACTATATCGGAGATATGCCCATTGCTGTCCCTGGAGGCAGGTCTGCTGGACTCAGTCCCACAGCATACTGAAATGGCTCTTTACCTCAGTTCCAGCCCCTCTCAAACATGATTTGGGAGTGTCGTGCTTGTCCAGGGACCCACAAATGGACATATCTGCCTGTGCTCCAGAGACAGGCATGTCATCCAAGATTGTGGATCATGAAGTGACACTGTAACTCAGACTTATCCCCTCCCAGCCCATGGTCCAAGAGCAGTCTTGCCCACTTAAAGATGTGTTAGGCAACATGCCCACCTTAGTACATGCAGGTAGGCCTGCTGACTTTGGTATGACTATGGATCCTGAAGCATCTCTAAGACACAGATCTAGGACTTCTCATCTGCAGTGAGGAGTAGTCCTGCCCACCCAGGAACCCAGAAAAGGCATGCCTGCCCATGGCCCCAGAATCAGGCCTGTTGACCTCATTTTCAGCTGTAGTCCATGAAGCAGCCCTGTGATTTGGTTCCTGTGATTTGACCCAAAGTTAACAGAAAGATGAAATAATAGCTATCAGAGAAGAAATAAAGGAAGCAGAGGCTAGAAAAACAATAGAAAAGATAAATGGAATTAAGAGCTGCTTTTTTAAAAAGATAAAATTGACAAACTTTTAACTAGATTAAGAAAAAGGGAGAGAGACTGAGGGTGTGACTCAAGTGATAGAGCACTTGCCTAGTTAGCAGGAGGACATGAGTTCAAACTCCAGTACTGCCAAACTCACACACAAAAAAATCCCACATCGGGTAAGAAAAAGGGAGAGAGGAGTAAAAAAAATTAAACTATAAATGAAAGAGAAGACATTATGACAGATACCTCACAAAATAAAGGATCATAAGACACTACTATGAACAAATTGAAGACTCTGGAAAAAAAACTGACAAATTCTTAGAAATACATAACCTAGTATGACTGAATCACGATGACAAAGAAAATTGACAGACCATAAACAAGAAAGGAGATCAAAGCAGCAATCAAAATCTGCCCAATAGGTCAGGTGCCTATTGGCTTATGCCTGTAATCTTAGCTACGCAGGAGGCAAAGATGAGGATCGTGGTTTGAAGCCATCCCGGGCAAATAGTTCATGAGACCCTCTCAGGAAAATACCCAACACAAAAAAGGACTGGTGAAGTGGCTCAAGTAGTAGAGTGCCTGCCTAGCAAGTATGAGGCTCTGAGTTCAAGCCTCAGTACCATCCCCCCCCCCAAAAATACTCCCAACAAGGAAAAGCTCAGGACCAGATGGGTTTCACAGGTTAATTCTAGCAAGTATTTAAAGAAGAATTCCAACCCTCAAGCCCTTCCAAAAACTGAAGAGGACAGAATACTTTCAAATTCATTTTATGATGCCAGAATTTTCGTCATACCAGACAGATTAGGACACTAAAAAAAAAAGAAAATAAAATTATAGGCCAAAATCCCTAATGAACAGTAGATGCAAAACTCCTCAACAAAATACTAGACACTAAATTCAACAGCATATTAAAGAACCATACACCCTGATCAAGTAGTATTTATCTCTGCAATTTGAGGATAGTTCAACATACACAAATTAATAAGTGTGGTATACCACCTGGACAGAATGAAAGACAAAAATCATATGATCATGTCAATAGATACAAAAAAAGTATTAAGAGCAAACATCTTTTCATGATAAAAACTCTTAATAAATTAGGTAAAGCATAAGTGTCCCTCAACATAATACAAAACAAAACATATATGACAAGCCCAGTGCTAATATCATACTGAACAGTGAAAAGTTGAAAACAATCTAATAGCACCACTTTTATTGAGCATAGTACTAGAAAACACAGGCAGAGAAACTAGCCAAAAAAAAAGAAACAAAAAGCACCAAATTTGGAAAAGAAAAAAAGTTAAACTGCTTGCTGATGACATGATCTTTTTTTTAAATAGATAAATTTAACAAGTAGGTGAAAGATATGTACACTGAAAAATGTAAAATATTGATGGAAATATTGTTCATGGACTAGAAGAATTAATGTTGTTAATGTGTCAATAACTATCCAAAGAAATCTATAGATTCAGTGCTATTCCTATAAAAATTCTGATGTCATTTTTTATAGACTAGAAAAAAAGTCTAACATTTGTATGGAACTGCAAAAGAGTGAATAACCGAAGCAATGTTGAGAAAGAAGAAAACTAAAATATCACACATCTTGATTTCAAACTAAATTACAAATCTCTATAATTGGAATAATATAGCATCTAAACATCCCATTGTACTCCACAAATTTGTATAATTATCATGTATTAATTAAAAATAAAATTAAGTTGGGTACCAGTGGCTCATGCTTATAATCCTAGCTACTCAGGAGGATCGTGGTTCAAAGCCAGCCCTGAGTAAATAGTTTGCGAGACCCTATCTTGAAAAAAACCTATCAGAAAAAAAGTGCTGGTGGAGTGGCTCAAGCAGTAAGAGCATCTAACTAGGAAGCATGAGGCCCTGAGTTCAAACACCACTACCACAAAAAAAATTAAATTAAAAAAAAATAGACACATAAATCAATGGAAGAGAATAGCAAATCCAGTAATAAATCTATGCATAAGACCCTGGGTTCAGTTCCCAGCATTGTAAGAAAACAAAAAACAAAAAACTTCTTGTCTGAGACATAGTGAGAGAATATGTAGAATTTGATTAGAATTTTTAAAATCTTGCCAGTTTTGAATGGGCCTAACTTTACAATATGAAATTTAATAGAAATACATATGTTTAGCATAAAAGCAGTTATACATATAAAATGGTTAGAAATTCTATCTAGCATGTATCCTAAGAATTTTACTTGGCAGTGAACAACACAAATAGACTAAAGTATTACTGGAAAAGCTGCAGATTAATTCTTAGCTGAATTTATAGAAATGTGGTATGCAACATGAAGCAGGTAATAGTCCTACCTTACTGTGTTCATTCATTTTAGAAAGCCACATTTTACAAGATGTCCAAACAAACTGTAATGTGTTCAGAGAACTGGGATGGTGAGGTGACTCTAAGTTAAGTCACATGAGGAAAGATCGAAGTAGCTGACCTATCCTGGTGAAGAGTTAGAGCTGAAGTGACAATGGGAGGAAGGAATACTGTCTTCAAAATAGTGAAGTGGAAGTAACATTAGATTTGTGATGTATGGGTCAGAGGAGATCAATTAGAATAAGTAGTTAAAAACTACAATGAGACAGCTCTCTACTTAGTATAAGTAGATATTTCCAACAGTACAGCTATTCAAAGATCTAACAGGTTCTCTTGGGCGGTAAATAATTCCCCACCAATAGAAATATTTAACAACATGCTAGAATTATTATAAGAAATTCAAGCACAGTTTGACTTGTAGGTTAGATGATCTTTCCTGTGACTGAGCTCTGTTCATAAACCCGTGAACATATTTAGGACCCAATTTTCAAAAGGGTAAATTACATGGGCAAATTTGCCTCTTTTTTTTCTTGCTTCTCAAAATATCTCCATCAACATGCAGGGAAAGAACAAGAAAAAAGAAAATGCTATGAATAATTATCTGTCTATGTATCTATCTATTTCTATTTTAAAGCTCTTAGCAGAAGGATTCATGAACAAAAAGATTGTGACAACTAATTAAATACACATTCTCAGTGTAGTTCAGTTTTCAGTGAACATCATTATCTTAACATCACATATACTCTAGTGTCTTTGGAATTCTTCCCCTTTGCTATTTTCTAAGCTCCTTAGGTTCCCACATCATCATTATTTTTCTGTTCTTTTCTCCTCACTTACGCTTTGGCAAGAGTTTCTATCATCAGCATTAACGGCATCCTCTTGAAGAACATCTTGCAGGTGAAGAAATGATTTGGTTTGGCTAGGAAAAAAAATAACATAATAAATACTCTGAAAAGCTGTTTGCTCCAACACTAGATTGTATGCAATTCAAAACACAAACCTACATAATGAAACCCATTTAAAAATTTTGTAAGAAAGTAGCTAGATGCCAGTGGCTCACACCAGTAATTCTAGTTACTTGGGAGGTTGAGATTAGGAGGATAGAGGTTCCAGGCCAGTCCAGGAAAACAGTTTATGATACCCCAATCTCCAAAATAACCAGAGCAAAATGGACTGCAGGTGTGACTTAAGTGATAGAGCGCAGTCTTGAGTTCAAACCCCAGTCTCACCAAAAGAAAAGAAAGTATGAAAGTTTAAAAAGGGGAAGGTTGGAGAGGGTAGTGAATATGATCAAAGTACATTATATGGATGTATGGAAATATCATAACGAGATACCTCAATTGTACAATTAATGTATGCCAATAAAAAATAGAAATACCCTCCCTCAAACAGAGACCTAAGTAGTAATTGAGACCTAAGTAGTAACCTATTTTTTAAGTGTAATCCAGGGGCTAAAATCAAATGGATTAATTTCTGAGAATACATTGAACAGAATATTAAGGCCAAAAGGGATATTACAAGTCACCTAGACCAACATTTTTATTTTAGCAAGGCTGAACCACTTAGTCTTGGGAGGAGCCCAGCTGAAATCGGAGTACAAAACACCATGTTCCACAGCAAGAGCTGCAGAACAACACAAGAAATTAAGATCCCAAAGAACCTTTACAGAGGCTTGTTTTAGTGGCACTCTTTTTTGAGATAAGCAAGTTACCAGTTTCAGTCAGTAGAAAGACCAAAGTTTCCGTTCTCTTGGAAACAAAAGTGTGATAAATTCCTAGCACCTGCTCTAGAATGCCTCATGGAAGAGTACAGTAATGTATTGTTCATCAAAGTATGAGCAAGATTGTCTGTAATGTAGTTCTTGTTCATTTTGCTAGAAATCATCTGTCACCACAAAGATGGCAACTGGTAATGTGAATAAAAGGTTTTGTAACTTACTCCAATAATCGGCTAGCCTCCTGCTTACCGGTGTTGTCATCTGCAAATATAAAAAAATAAAGTTAATGTAAAACCTCATATTAAAAGCAGTGGGGAAGGGTTGGAGGAGTGGCTTGGTGGTAAGAGCACCTGCCTAGCAAGTGTGAAGCCCTGAGTTCAAACCCCACGGTCACAAAAAAAAAAAAAAAGGGAAGGACCAACTCCTTCTTGTGAACTCTATAGTGACAGAAAAACCCTAATACACAGAACCTTGTTCTATATCAGTTCCTGTTACCCTTCTTTCAAAAACAAATAGGTTCAGTGATATTATTGAACCTAAATATAACCAAGATTTCGTTAGCAACCTGTAAAAGATTAGAAGAGAGACAATAGCATTCACAAACTTTGGAATTTGGATCTGTAGTACTATTGGCCCCTTTAAACTAACAAGGACAAAGAAGGAAGGGGAGAATTAAATATTATTAAACATTCTTTATACTCCAATAAATGTTGTGACATGCTATAATATTCTAGGATTCTGGAATTTTTTTTCTCTCAAAGCATTTTAAAAGTAATGTTTTTTTTAAACAGAGGAAGATCTGGGGATGTAGCTCAGAGATGGAGTACTTGCCTAGCATGCACCGGGAGGGCCTTTTGAGTGCCACAAAACAAACAAACAAGCAAAAAATGAAAACCAAAAACTGAAACAAGGATAAAAATTTAGAAATCCAAAAGCAAAAAAACTGTAAACAGTTAATATAATAGAAGTCAAAGTACTTCAAAGACATCCTCCACATTTATCATTTCATGCTTTAGGAGCAAAGAAACTAGAGTGTACATTGATCTTGGTTTTGTGAAAGGTTGAGACTATTACGTGGGAATATTAAGCTATTTTCCAAAAGTGGAAAAAATATTACAAAATATAAGTTAAAATGTCTCAGCTTGTACAACTTTTTTGTCAGATAGGTCCTTCAATTTGCTCAGTAAACAATACCAGATGACCTACATAGGAAGAGAAAAATAGAAACTGAGCACTGTCAGTTTGTACTGGAGAAGTATAATCTCCTGTAACAATTCTTCTTTTCAATGGTATCCATCTGCAGTCCTGCAGTGGTTACTATAGAATGCACTTTTTTTTCATTCTGTCTGCCTTTTGTTAAAGAGAATCCCTGATTCAGTTCAACAATTTTGGAGGAAACTAGGGAGCCTCGCATGACAGAAAGGGAAATGAGTTACAAGTCAGGGGAGAGGTGGCAAGGCAAGCAAGAAGCCTGGAGGTGGTTTCCCCTTTTTTCCTCAGGAGTTTGAAAGAGACAGTGTGAGCACCACTAAACCCATGACTAAGGGAGGTCATTTTCCTTCTTACAGAGGTGATAAGAAATTAGGTCCTTACCTTCATTAAGGCAGTGTTCTTTGTCTTCCAACTGCAGATGGCTCTTTCCACTGCACTCTGGTTTAGACGACTCTGATTCCTGCTGTTTGGACATAGCTCCAGAATTAGACGTCTGGATTTGGGGTCAGAATAGGGGGAGACTTGTTAGAAGAACTGACTACTAAAAGGTAACTGCTGTAGCAGTCTCAATAAGTAGCCTGGATGGAGGGAAGTAGATAAGCACCAAATGAGGGTCATCAGAGTCTAAGTTTGGACAGGGGTGAGTGGGAACCAGGGCGGGATCAACTTGAGTGAGACGAATGAAGAATGGCAGTTCAGCGGACTAGCCCCTAGCTGGCAGAACACAAACGAAAACTTAGACTAGAGCCTTGAGCTTTCATCTCAGGCCTTTTTCTATCTTCTAAAAGCAAAAAGGTCGTGTGTGACTAGGGACAGAGGACGGGAGCAGGCGGGGGCAAGAGAGGGGAAGAGGAAGGGTCAGGGTGAAGGAGAACAGAGAACATACTACACCTCTGTAGCATCCTAAAGGCCCATCTGATGACGAAGGGCCTAGAAAACACTGGCACCTCTTCTCCCTCGGCTAGGATGAAAACGCCAAGAAAATGTCAGGGACCTAGCTAATATTTGGCAGTCCTATACTCTTCCTTTCATTGGGCTGTGAGTGGTAGCAGCATCCCACCTCTGGATCAGGTACTCGGCCACTTTACCTTATAAAAGTGTCAAATTCTTCTCTCGGAGCTTGCCTCTCTCTTTCCCACCCCGCGACACTGACACTGACCGTTGGCAGTTACTGGATTTCCTAGCAGTACTTGCGCAGCACCAAAGGTTAAAAGCCCCTCCCCCCATGTGGAGACTGGTGTAGTGGCTCAAGCAGTAGAGCACCTGCCTAGCAAACGGGAGGCCCTGAGTTCAAACCCCAGGACCACCAAAAAACCCACAATCGTGTATGTGTACAGAACTTACCCACCTTAACCACTCCACTGCTAACGTGTGGCTGCAGTCCTCCATCCTCCCACAAGTCTCAAGGGTGAGATCTGGGTGTGCGCCTGCAGCTTTTTCGCCTTTTTAAACACCTTCTAGAAAGCCCTTGCTAACATCCTGGAAGCACATCAACTGTAAACTGGGCCCCGCTCCCATCCACCTACCCACCACTGCCATTTCCTGAGGAAGGGGACTTCCATGTCTGCTCCTGCCCCTCTCCCCACTACCCTTTCATCTGTTGTTGAAGTAGCAGCATTAACCCACTGCCTTTCCTTGGAAGAATTCTCAAGTTTTGATAGAAATAGGTTCAAACTGAATAATTGTTAGATTTATTTAAATTTTCTTAAGTTTATAAAGGAGCTCAACACTGGAGAGGTTGTTAAGAAGCAAGAATACTTCTGCATTGCTGATGGTGATATAATTAGGAAGTGTGAATTTTTATAGAAAGCAATTTGGTGCTGGGTGCTGGTGGCTCATGCCTGTAATCATGAGGATTGTGGTTTGAGGCCAGCTGGGGCAAATTACTCTTGAGACTCTATCTTGAAAATACTCAACCCCAAAACCAGTGGCTCAAGTGGTAGAGCACCTGCCTACCACTTCAAGTGTGAAGTCTTGAGTTCAAATCTCACAACCACAAAATAAAGAAAGCAATTTGGCATTATGCATCAAGAGTCATTAAAAAATCCTGTCCTTTAGCCCAGAATTTCTGGAATGCATCTTACACTTTTGAATAAATGAGAAGATATTTGTATATAAACATTCATCATTTTATTAGTGGAAATGGAATTACTGAAAAGCCCATGATGGAGAAATGTTTAAATCCTATAATCACAGAATGCTGAAGTTAGAATCTTTGAGGTCATTTTTTCCAAAACTGTTTCTTTCCCACTCCACCTTCTTTGGATGAAGCAACTGAACTCAAGTAAACTATGATATCAACTGGAATGAATAATCTTCACTCTTCAAATATAATAAATATCATGAATTGTATAAGAAAAGGTGTGAATAAAATATTGGAGTAGTGGCTTCTTATGAAAATGTAATGAAAAAGGGAAGAAATACTGGAGTGAGACTCAGTCAACCTTTGCTTCAGTTCCAACTCAACCATTAAAACAAGTCTGTCGATACTTACTTGTATTTTTTGAAGGGGCACTATTGGATTTTTTTTTTTTTGTACACTGGGTTTAAGTTCAGGGCTTCATGCTTGCTAGGCAGGGTCCCTACCACTTGAGCTATGCCTTTAGCACACATCTTTGAAAAGAAGCCAAGCCCTTAGGATCAGGCCTATAAGAAAGATGTCTGTAGGAAATCTCAGAGATCAGTAAGGTTATAGCTATCAGACTCATTTCATTTCTCAGAAATGGAGAAATGAAAATTTGTTTCAAAGACTTTCTAGGGCTTTAAAAAAATCTTTGTGACTTTTTTCTTTTTTATTAATTGTACAATATAATGGGTTTTATTATGACATTTTGATATTTGCGTACTATGTACTTTGATCATATTAACCCCTCATCACCCTCTTTTGTCCTCTTCTCCTTCCCTTTCTTTCTCCATTCCCCCAAATGTCCCCCTTCTGCTTTCATGCCTTTTTCTAAAATCTAGATTTCATATATGAGAGAAACATTCTGTTTTTGTCTTTCTGAGTCTGGCTTCCTTAGCTTAACATGATGATCTCCAGTTCCATCTATTTTACTGCAAATGACATAATTTTAGTCTTCTTTGATAATACTCCATTTTGTATATATGCCACATTTTCTTTATCCATTCTTACAATGGGGGGCACTTAGGATGATTCCATGACTTGGCTAATATGTGTGACATATTATTGATGTTCTATCTATCTATCTATGCATATATATTCCTCTCAGTCTCTTTTTTTCCTTCTGTTTTTTTTTTTTTTTTTTCGGTACTGGAGGTTGAGCTCAGGGCCTACACCTTGAGCCACTCCCACCAGCTTTTTATTGCGAAGGGTTTTTTTTGAGATAGGGTTTCACCAACTATTTGCTTGGGCTGGCTTCAAACCACAATCTTCCTGATCTCTGCTGCCTGAGTTGCTAGGATTACAGGCATGAGTCACGGGTGCCTGGCCTCTTTCTGCTTTTAATATTTATTTTTGTATCTTCTTTTCCTTCCCTTTCCTTTTAAAAAATTTCTTTTACTTTCTTCATAACTCCTACAAACCCCCTCTTTTTTCTTTTCCGTATTTTTCTCTTTTAAAACTTTCTTTTTCATTGGCAGCTATTCATCTGGCACAGGTTTAACACCTGGAATATGTAAAGAACTCAAAAAACTTATCAAAAGAACAAGTAGTCCAATCCAAAGCCAGTAAATGATCTGAATAGACACTTCTCAAAAGACAAGCTATGACTGGACAATAAGTATGTGAAAATGCTCAGTATTTTTGGCCATCAGGGAGATGCAAATCAAAACTACAATGAGATGCCATCTCTCCCTAGTCAGAATGACTATCATAACAAAACCCCAAACCAATAAATGTTGGTGCTTGCGTTGGTGGTATAGTGGTGAGCACAGCTGCCTTCCAATAAATGTTGGTAAGAATATGGGAGAAAAATGAACCCTTATACACTGTTGGTGAGATTATAAATTAGTTCAGACATTATGGAAATCAGATGGGGGTTCCTCAAAAAACTGAAAATAGAACTACCATATGATACAGCTATATACACTTGAGGGAATCAAAGTCAGCATACACTAGAGATACTTACACACCTAAGTTCATAGCAATGCTATTCACAATAGGCAACTTATGAAATCATCCTAGGTACCCATAAACTGATGAGCAGATGAAAATTTAGTGAATATACACAATGGAGTATTATTCAGCTCTATAGAAGAATAAAATTATGTCATTTCCAGGAAAATTGATGAAGCTGGAGATCATCATATTAAGTGAAATAAGCCAGACTCAGAGTGAAAAATATTGGTTGTTTTATCTCATATATGAAATCTTGATTTAAAAAGATATGAAAGTAGAAGGGGACTATTTGGGAAGAGGAAGTGGACTACTGGGAAGGGGGGGACAAGAGAGGGTAATGGGTGAATATGATCAAAGTACATTATATATATGTATGAAAATGTCATAATGGAACCCATTATTTTGTACAATTAATATACACTAGTTTAGTGTAAAAAACTGACCTGGAAGTAGAAGATGGACTATTAAGGAAGGAGTGGGAGAACTTGTCAGAAGGAGGAGAGGGCAAGATGAAGAGAGGGCACAAGAGAAGATGGACATGATGATAGCATGATATATGCATGTATGGAACTGTGACAGTGAACCCACTAATCTGTGCAATTAATATGTTTTAGTGATTATAATTTTTAAAAATATGTCTAGTTCTGTCAATGACATTCATTGATGTTGAAAGTTGTCAATATATGTTGTGAATGAAAAAATAGCAAATTGCAAAAATTCATATAGTGCAATATAATACAATAGCAATAAATGCATTGAAAAAAGTCTGGAAGAATTTGCCATGAATTATTGCTTCTTGGGAAGTGTGTGCTATTTGAGCAATGGAGATAAAGGGATCCTTTCTTTGTTTAAAAAAATAATCAAAACTATATCATTTCACTCTTGTTTTCCAAAGGCTCATGTTCATTTCACAATATAAATTGTATTCAGTCCATTTCCAAGAGTCCCTAAAGTCTTTTTTGTTTTTAAGGAAACAAGATCATTTCCAAGAGAGGTGCTGTGCCAGGAAAAGCAGGGTGACTTCAAGTACCAGTGAGGAAGAGATGGAGGGGAGTTTTCAAGGGCTCTGTGCACATGTGCAGGGTCCAAGTCGGTCCAGCATCAACAAGGCCCCTGGCCTGGGTCTATGCCCACTCTCTTCTTTGGCCTCACCCTGGTGCTCTTGCTAACCCAGATTGTCCCTATACAAAGTCTTAGGTGGTCAGTTCTGACCCAGGGTCCACAGCTCTCAGGAACACCCTCAGGAGTGGCCCCAATATCCAGCCACCCCTGCTGCTGGGACCCTGGCCTATGGGCACTACTGGCCCTTGCCAGATCTGAAGAAATGAGGACCTGTCCCTCCTGGATGCCAGGGCCTGACCTGCAGCACTGTGTGGCTGAGGCTGACCTTGGCTTCACCTCTGTCTGT